AACAAGGCAAAGGGTAATTTCAAGAGGAAAAAGTCTCTGTACACTCCTTACAAAAGGGGTATAGGGCAAGCAGTTGTACAGGTATATGATCATTTCATATTTTCAAATTGATCATTTCAGTTTTCGTAAATGATCATTTATGTTTTTTTTTTTAAATAGGAACTTGATGAGAACGGTTGTGCTGTTACTTATGCTAATTCTATTAGTGATCCCATTGAATTGATTGTTTTGAGCAATAAACGGGCTCAGGTAAATTCAAATGTGCCAAAAAAAACATTTTATTTATATTTTATTAATATTGATTTTTATAATTTAAAAATATAGGTCGGCTTAAAATCAGCTGTTGTAGAAGAAATTCCTTCTAGTTCTAAGGAATCAAATCATAGTATTTCCAATGATTTTGATCAGGTATATGAACATTTATGATCTATATTATAATTTTTTTTTTATTTAATTTTTTATTTTTTATATTTTTTTTTGGTTTTTTTGTAGGCTACTGGTGAAAGCTCTCTTTCATCTATCATATCTATTGATGTTGATATTTCATCTATTGCTAAGGTTTTTTTTTTTCCATATTTGTTTGTATAAGTGTTTGTAACTGATCATATACTGGTTTATTAATGATCAATTTAATTTTTTTAAAGGCGAAGGATTTAAATCTTGAAGGTGTTTCTGCTGTTCAACCTTGTTCTAATTTTGGTGCAAATGAAGGTGCTTCTGGTGTTAAAACTTACTCTCAAATTAATCCAAGAGTTCCAATTCATACTAGTGCGTCAACAAAATCTCCTGTTGTTATTCAACCTACTGTTCCCAGGAATGTTCAAAATCAAACTCAGAATTGTTCAAACACCAATCCAGAAATGATCATATCCAACTCCAGGAATGTTCAATCAACAAATGTTCAAGTTATTTCTCCTACGGTTCAAATAAATGATCAAGGATTTCCTGTTCAGAATGTTCAAGTTACTCCTCCCACAGTTCAAAGAAATGATCAAGGTGCTCGTGTTCCAATTCTTCAATCAAGAAATGTTCAATTAGGTTCTAAAAAGATTTCTTCTAAATATGATAGGTTGTTAGCCTTTTTTGATACAAGTGTAGCTAAACGTTTGGCTAATAAAGATAAATAATTAGTATTCCAGAACTTTATAAACATTAGACTTTTTTGTAATGTTGATTTAATTACTATTTTGTAATTTTGAATTTTCGATCTATTATATAAAAAACTTTCATTCAAAGATTAAAATGAAATATCAATTACAATAATATTAAAATAAAATCCATAAGTCTACTTCTAAAAAAAAAAAATAGTCATATATAAGAAATGAACATATACATAGTTGTAAATGAACATTTGAAACTACAAAGTTGCAAATTTTCTAGCTTTCCTTCTATTTGCTCTTGATTCAGTGTTTTCTTCAAATAACATCAGTTCTGCTGTGTATTGGAGCCTTAGATTTCTAATTTGTTCCACCTGTTGAACAAAATGAATTGTCAAATTTTAATTAAACAATCTTTACTGTTTCATAAATGAATATTATATCTTAAATAATTGATCATTTATAACTCTTACATTGTTTGGTTTTAAATCACAAATCCAGCTCTCATTAGGATCAGCAGTGAAGGTTTCCATATGCTTCATAATGTAAACTCCACAGTTTGTATAGTCATTGTTGCTACGCCATTTCATCTTTTCCAAAACAACTGTGTAGTCTTCAATTCTTTTTGCATCTTGATATCCAAGGTGTTTCATGTACTCTGCCAATCCTTTTAACTGATAGAAAAAAGAGTAAAAATTGTTTAGAAGTTTGTATTGTGATGAAGACATGAACAATTAATAAAATATAATTGATCATGTAGTCAACTATAAATGAACATATTATCTCACCATCATTTTTGGTTGTTCTTCATATTTTGCTTGGACTGATACCTTTTTTGGTAGTTTTCTATTGTCAATTATATGAATTTTGTCTTCTATATGATTGACGCACAACAGAAAAAAATGTTGAGAAGTTGATACTGGGAAGAAGACCTGAACAAATTATATAATGTTATTGGACAATATATTGAAGGTAATTGAACATTTGTATTAAACAAGAATTAATACCTGTTTATATCCAACAATGCTGTCAATTTTATTCAACTTCAGTTCATTGTCAATTCTTTCTATGAAGGCATTAATTCTTGTCTTCATTGATGATCCTTCTTGACAAACTCTATTTGTGCACATAATGTGCTGTTGAAATACAAACAAACATATAGAAGTTAAATGAATTTTTAGCAATTATTTATCATAGGAAAATAGAATCAATAATATAAAAAAAGAAGAAAGACTAACATGAAGCACTGTTGAGAAATAAATCTTGTTTCTCGGCTTTTTATGATTAAGAAACCTTGCCCATCCATCTATGACACAATTTGTCACTTCAACATCATCTCCAAGAGTTTTCATTTCATTTCTATTGATGAGATTCAAGCCATCATAGTATAAGAGTGCACTGCATTATGAACATTTAATAATATGAATGTGAACATATTTTTATAAAAGATATTAAACCTTAAGTTTAATTAGTGTAAGTAATTACCTTTCATCTTTTCCACCAAGAGCAAAGTCTACTGCAATTTGGTTCATGGCTTTCTCATCTTTAAACAGATCCTTGTACTTGACCAAGTAAGGAGATCGGAAAGCAGGAGGAAGTGTTTTCTTTTCGCGTTTTGGTCTTGTTGTTCAATATAAAATATTGTTAAATTAAGAAAATTATGAGGAACATAAATGAACATTTGAGTGTATATAAATAAATTTGAAATTATACCTTTCAACCTTTTCCTTTTCAGTTTTTTTCTTCTTTTCTGCAATTGACTTTTTCTTATCATCATTCCTGGTCATATTACATAACACAAATGTACATTTAGGTATATGAAAATGTTCATTATTATTTTTGAACATTTACTTAATATAAATAATGTACCTTTTTGTGACTTTTGAGGATGAAGCAACAATCTTCTTGTTTTCACTGAAAAGTGAAACAATGTCAGTACATATTAATAAAATAAAAGCTTCTTATGTAACACCCTGAATCATTTTCAATTCATAAAATGAAAGATATTGATTTAACATAAACCTATTGATTTAACATAAACCACACATTCATATTACATATTCAACAAAATAATGTTCACACATACAATAGTTTGAGAAACACCAGTTTCAAGTTACAACACGATAGTAACATAAGTTAAATTGTTCCATCTAGATATTTTATCCTACACCATTACATAACCCTAATAGTAAGACATGTCTTCAGGATTTTACCCCTCCACTTTTTCATCATTTTTTGTTTTTTCAAAAACATCTTCCTTGTTTTGTTTTCCACCTCCAACTGTGTTTTTTGGATCATCACTTTTTTCACCACCATCTGACCTAGGGTCAGCATCAACCACTGAACCAGATCCTGCATCTAAGAAAAAATTTAATTAGATATAATATAATTTCTTTGTAAATGAACATTTGAGTATTTATAATTGAACATTATACCTGTTCTAGGCAATCCTTCATTATCTGACCTAGTGTCAGCATCAAGTTTTGAACCAGTTGCTGCGTCTAACAAAATAATACAATTAATAATGAATATTTCTTGTTTGTAAATGAACATTTTACACTTTTTAATTGAACATTATACCAGTTCTAGAAAATTCTTCAATTCTTTGTTCTGAAGCTGCTGAAGTTTTACCCACATCCTTTTCTCCAGCTGTATTATAAATCATCATTTTGGAGATACACTAAGTTAATAGTATTTACACATAATAATTAGAAATGAACATTTCTACTTAAGTTTATGTACATTATTATTAAATATATGAACATATTACCATTTGTTGAAATTATTGGTTGTTCAATTATATCACCAAGTGTTGAAAAGGTGGGCCCTGTTTCTGTTTAGGACAATTTAGACCACAAATTTAGAATTTTTCATATAAAAATTAGGATATATAGTCTCTTTTAGTTAGAATTTACCAATGGCTGGAGAAGGTGGAGTCAACCCCAAGCTGAAAGCTTTTCTGATGTCATATTCTTGTTCTTTTTCCTTTCCCTTTTTGGTTAATTTCTTCCCAGTCATTTGCTTCTCAGTTGTTTGCTTTTCAGACCCTTGCATCAGATTCTTCTCAGCTTGTGCAAGTGCATTTAGGAAATCCTCACTGCCAAAGAATTCTTCATCTTGGCTTAGAATTGATGGTTCCCTAGCTACCACCTTTCCTAAAACTTCATCAACTTTTTTCACCAAGTCATTTCCAGGGAAGATATCCTTTGCCTTCACCAATTTTGAAGAAAGCTTTGACAGGTTTGAACAAGTTGTTTTTACCAGGGAAACAAAATCATCCATAAAAACCTATATGAATGAATATTAAAAATTATGCAGTTGAACATTTCAGATTATACAAATGAACATTTATGTTAACAAAAGTGATCATTTTATAACCTTAGGACTTTCTTCAACTTCTGCAGCAATCCTTGGTAGAATTTTCCCTCTCCCAAATCCCAATTCTAATTCAATCTTCAACCTCTCAAGAACCATGTCTCTATTCCATGCAGATATGATAGGAATTGTTCTTGGAGGCCTTTTGTCTAACCTCTGAACTCTATCAAAATAGAACAACTACAAGAAAAAAGAAAACATGGAACAGAACATAAACAATAAAAAAAAGTGCATTTATTTAAATTTAAATGAACATCTTGTATCTAAGAATATACCATCAGAAATTGAAGAGGGCCTTTGTAGAACCCCTTGCCTTGCTGCTTTCTCCAATCAACATGACATTTGATAAGTGAGTCATATACAAACTGACACCAGTTCAAATTTTTTATGTTTTCTTTGTCCATCATAGAATAAAGAAATTTGAAATGGCATTGATTGTTTGATACACATTTCATCAAGCAGTTCACAGCCACTGCTAAAAAGTTAGTAATGAAATGTTCACTTGGTGGTCTGTTGTTGGTGAATTTATCATTTATGTATCCATTCACAATCTGCAAACAAAATGAACAAAACATTTATACTTTTGATCATTTAATGTATTTAAAATGAACATTTAAAACTGATCATACCTGACTCACTGATGGAGTTTTTTCCTGACCATGATTTTCTCCATTTCTTCAGAAATTCTGCATACTCCTCACTAATTTTATCAGACTTTGGCTCAACAATTGGAATTTCTCCTGTAGGCAAGCCATAAACTACCCTAACATCCTCTACCTCAATTTCTATTTTTTCATTCTTTGGTAGTTCAAAATACTGGCTATTTTCTTCAAAACTTCCCAATAACCAGTTACAGAACTTTTGATCAAGTTGAGGTAAACTAATGTCAAGAAGTGATCCTAACCCTATATCAATAATTTGTTGTTTTTGGGTAGGTGTCATCTTTTTTATCCATGCAATGAACTTCACATGTCCTCCTCTCTTTGAAGATTTCTCTTCCTCAAATTCATCTTCCTGAATTTCCTCAACTTCATCAGTTTCTATTGCTTGAACCATTTCAGTTTTCATTTTCTTTTTTCTCCTACCTTCAATCTTTCCTTCATCATACAGTACCATCTTTTGCTCCTCCTTTTCAACCTTTGCCTTCACTGAATTCCCTTTCTTTGCTTGTTTCTTCCTTGGCTTTACTTCTTCCTCTTCCTCCTCTTCCTCCACCTCATAATCATCCTCACTGACAGGCTCTTCTTCTGCTCTATAAACTGACTCTTCACTATCATCATCACTGTCAGGATCTTGAGAGGGTTCATCTGATGGTACTTCTTGTATTTTTTTTCTCTTTCCAGCATTTCTCTTGGCAGGACTGACATCTGAAAATTAAATATATAATTTTGTTTAAGTATTGAAAATGTACAGTAAGCAAATGATAAAATGAACAAAATTGTTTTCTCAAATGATCATTCTATATATAGAAATTGAACATTTATAATATATCATTATATACCTGCTTTTCTTTTGCCAGCAACCTTAGAAGTTTTCTTCACTTCTAGAGTTTTCTTTTTCCCACCTATATATTGAAATTGAACATTAATGATATACCATCATAAATGATCATTCTATACATTAAGATTGAACATTTACCCTTTTTGCCTTGGTCTGGAGGATATTCAGCAGGAGCACCTGCCATTTTTTTTATTGGAGTAGGTGCTGGAGGTGGTGCATCAGCTTCCTTTTGAATAGGAAAATTCCTTGTAGACATTCTTCTCTTCTGTCCTATTTTTGCGGTTTCTTTAGCAGGCTCAACATCCTTCTTCAGGCTTCCCTTTTTAGATTCATCTAACAGAACATCTATTGTTTTTAAAAAAATTTATGTTAGTATATTTGAAAGTGTAATATTTATTGTGTAACAGAAAAGTATTATGATTACCTTGGCTCCTTGTAATTCTACCACTTGGCACAACAACAAGGCTTTTGTTTTTGTTTTTCCTTGCAACCATTTTGTATCTTGTTTTCATTTTGGTTGACTGATCACTTTTTTGTGATGATGGAGCTGTCTCCTCACTAAGTTTTGTGGAAACTTTATCATCATCTTGATCTAGAAGATAAGTTTCATCCTCAATTTGAACAAAATCAGGTGCAATTTGTGCTGCATATGAAATGATCAAATATAAAAGATTAAATAAACATTATTAAATTGGATGACAAAAGTTTACTATATACAATATAAATGAACATTTCAGGTAATGAATATGTACATTTTCCACTATTTACCTTTCGGATCTGTTGTCTTTGTAGACTCATCTTCCACTGTTTTCTCTTTAGGGATTTTCTCCTTTTCAGGCTCTTTTTTTCCCTCTTGTCCTTCTATGAAAATTTAATTAGTTAATATTTATATATTTTTTTAATCTTATTGAACATTCAATATTATGTAGATCCAATATGAACATTTTATGTAATAAAAATGTACATTTATAAATTTTTACCTTCTACATTTGTTGTCTTTGGAAAGACATCTTCCACAGTTTTGTCTTTAGGGCTTTTCTCTTTTTCAGTCCCTTTTTTTCCTTCTTGTACTTCTATTAAAATTTATTTAGTTAAAATTTAATTTTTTTAATCTTATTGAATATTTAATATTATGCTTTTCCAATATGAACATTTTTTGTAATAAAAATGTACATTTTAAAATTTTTACCTTTTTCCACAGTTTTCTCTTCTATTGGCCCTTTTTCTTTCTTTTTTGCTTCACCTTCAAAAGTAATAGTATTGTTAAAATTGATATTTATGACTATTAAACAAAAATATTCAATAAATATGATCATTTACCTTTCCTGATTTCCTTGCTTGCCTTTTCCATTCTTTTGAGATTTCTCATAATTCTGATTGTCGATTCTTTGTACTTTCTGTAAATGTATGATATTAACTTTGAAATATATTCATTAATTGATTAAATTAATTCAATTATTTAAATTTAAACATACTTTGGGTTTCTCTCTATGTCTAAATGTATTTCTTGCATCTTGTCCTTTAATGTTGTTATTCTTGAATCATCTTTGGGTTTTCTGATATTTCATTAAAAATATGTTTGAATTTACAATTTTGATTAGTAAATAAAAAAATGAACATATAACTTATATTACTATTGGCCATGAGCAAACTTTTTTGTACTGATTTTCAAATGAACATATAGTCTATCTAAATTGAACATTTAAGTTTTCTTACTTTTGGCCAAGACTATTCTTTACTGGATTGCTTTGCACTTTTGGTTGAACTTCTTCTTGCTTGCTGAAATCAATATTAAGAAATACTTTAAATAAAAAATGCACATAAATTGTACATAAAATATACTGTTATAAAAATGAACATTTGTTTATATAAAATTGATCATTAGTATACCTTTCATCCCTGCTCTCTTTGTCAGTTGTGTTATGTGTAGCAGACACACTCTTAGTTGTTGCATTAGTAGCAGGAATGTTCTCACTTTGTTCACTTAAAAAAAACAGAATTATTTTATATAATATGATATTAAAGTATGAACTAATTTATACAATGAAGAAGATAATTAGTTATTTTGTATAAAGCTTTTATACCTTATTGTTTGATTTGTCTCTGGTGGTCTTGATTTTGACATAACAAATTTCACTCGAACCTTTTTTTTTTCACTAAAATTTTAAGAATTACCTAATAAGTTTGGTATATATATACAATGTACAATAATTGAATGTAAAAACAATTATTTTATACATATAAACTTACTTGTTTAAAGTGTATCTTTCATAACTATTACCATATTCATTTTGTTGTATAACCTTCTTTAGAGTTAATGGTTCAGATTTCCCATCTCTAAATTGAAGCAAGTGTATCACTCTAAATGGCACATCACTACATTATAAATTAATTACATGACATTAGTTTGAATGCATATCACTGAAATGATTATTATCATATTTATATATGTGCATGATGATTTAATGAAATGTATATTTGTTATTTAAATCTCAATGACTACTCAAATGAACAAATATACATATATGATCATAATTATATCTATAAATGAACATTATGAGTATCAAATATGATCATATACAATGATGTTTCAATGAAATGTACTTTTGTTTTTAAATCTCAATAAATACTCATATGAACAAATATAAATATATGATCATAACTATATCTATAAATGAACATTATGAGTATCAAATATGATCATATACAAATAACATATTAAACAAAGATAAAACCAATTTTATCAAATACAACTAGCATATTAGACATGAACATAATATATTCTGTAAATGACTAATTACCTTGGTAGTGGAGACATTGTTAAATCCGTACCAATTGACTTGTCAATATCTTTTAAAAGTTCCGGATCTACAATTGGATCATTTTGGCGGTTTTTTTTCAATTTGTCTACTCTTGACTGAAGAGGTACATCATCATCATCGTCTCTGTTTTATTTAATAAATTGTTAATGTTTTAGTTATTTTCAGTAAAATCTTAGAACAATTACTACAATCGCAAAAAATTTTAACAAAAATTAGGTTTTACAAAAGTTAGGGTTCATACATTTCTTCAGAAATTTTCAACAAATTACTCGTCTGTGAAGTATTTTTCTCCAAAATCATACTACAATTGCAAAAAATTAACAAAAATTAGGTTTCACACATAAAATCGCACTATAATTGTCATCGCAAGAATATGAACAAAATTACTTACTCTTTGGTAACATTTTGCTCTGATTTTCCAGTTTTATCTTCCATGTTCTTCTCTAAAGCGTTTTTTTTGCAAAATCACTCTACAATCACAAGGAAAAGAACCAAAATTATGCTTCATACAAAAATTGTACTAAAATCGTAATCAAATGAACAAAATTACTTACTCTTTATCAAAATGCTGCTGCGATTGTTTAATTTCATCTCGAATATCAGACATTTGAAGTAATTATGAAGTGTTTTGAAGCAATTTTGCAATAATTTGAAGAGAATTTCGTTCCGATTCGACGGTGTTGATGAGAGAGAAATTCTACAAAAATGAAGAAGATGGTTTTTAGAGAGAGAATAATTTGATATGGATAGTTTTTTTTTTACTGTGGTTAGTGGGGGTAGTTACTGTAGTTTGTGGGGGTAGGGGAAAAACGCAAAACGCTGCGTTTTGTAGGGGGTGTAGGTTATGGTACCTACACTAGGGTCTAGTGTATACTAATTAAGTCCTAAAAAGGTTAGGTTTAAACAAAAAGTTTTGGGCTCAATTTCTAAGTTTTTTAGGTGTTGGGCAATTTAGTTAAAAATTAGGCCCAACTCAATTTTGACCCAAAGCCCATAATTCGGCCCAAAATAGTAGGTTTGACATGATTTTTTCGACCTGACCAGAAGCATTGGCCTAAAATGGGCCATTTTCTTTTGCCAAAGCCTAGCTCGTGATCACCTCAAGATGATAAATTTATATTTTCTCCAATAATAAACGAAAGGGAAATTTGCCACTTACTACAGCTTAATAAGGTCTATTTGGGAATTACTTCCACAAATTAGAGAACTTCTAAATTACTACCACAAATATTTTAATGAAATACTATTACTACAAGGCCCCACTTTTGGCCAATAATGGCGTCATTAATCACCCTTACCCCTCCTTTAGCCTCGGTTAACCAACTAAACTACCAAAAAAGAAAAAAAATTAAATCCAAGGTAAAACCAACTTATCTCGTTGAATCAACCCTCTTTCCTTTCTTTCTCTTTGTTCGATCTTCCTCCTTCACTATCCATTGATTAAATTCATCCAAGCTTCCACAAATTGCTCAACGTAAGGCCCTGTTCAGTTCACTTAAAAAAATAATATTCATTAAAAATAATTTCACTTCAATAAAAATAATTTAAGTTTAACAAAAATAAGTTCAGTTCAGTAAAATTAATTTCAATTTAGTAAAAATGATTTCAATTCAGCAAAAATCAGTAACTCTGAAGAAGAAATATGATAGAAAATCAGTAAAAATAATTTCAGTTCAGTAAAATTAATTTCAGTTCAGCAAAAATAATTTTAGTTCAGCAAAAATAAAGTAAAGTGAACGGGGCCTAAATGTCTAATCACCTCTATTAAATTCATTTATAAGGGTTTTCGAATTCTAGGGTTTTCACATTTTAGGGTTTATGGCTTTGATTTTGGTTGATTAAAATAAGGCTTTTGTATTTTTCTTTCAATTAAGCTAGTAACTAAGCATAATATATAATTTGATATGGGAAAATATTTTAATTTGTACAAGAAGATGCCTATGTTTAGGGTTAAAATCTGCAAGTGTGGGTTGGAGACATCAATTATATGAAGTCATGGACCAAGGGAAACCCAAGGTTCATAGCAGAGTGTTCTTTAATTTGACTTACATTGGAGTAAATTTTATTTATTTTTTATTTATTTATTTTTGTTGTAGTTTAGTTGGTTAAGTAGAATTAAACCAGAATTAAGGGTGATTAATGACGTCATTATAAGCCAAAAGTGGGGTTTAGTAGTAATATTACGTAATTTTGTAAAAATATTTGCATTAATAATTTACAAATTTTTTATTTGCAGTAATAATTCCTAAATAAGCTTTAACGCGGGTAATTTGTCAAATTAGAAAGAAAGAAAAAAATCTAAGTTGAATTCATTTTCTCTTTGGTCGACTCGAGACTCGACTCGTTCCATTGGAGTTGGCCTGGCTTAATAATACCCGTATAATCGAGTGGCCATTAATACAACTTTACGAATCGGAATTCTTTGTATTGCAATTCTTCCAGAAATCTGCTCACCTTCTATCTTGTTTATGGCCACTTTTGTAAGCATTTCTTCCTCTACTACTCCAATCTCTTTCTCTTTTTCTACCGTTTGTGTTTTGGATGGGTCATTTTTGAGCAATTGTTTGCTGGTGTGATTTGAATTTGTCAATTATTATGGAAATTTTATATTGATTATGAATTACATTTTTTATAAATTTAATTTTAATTGAATATTGAAATTAATTCGTCTTGTTTTTGCAACTTTTTTGGTGATTTAATTTGATTAAAATTTACATTTATAAGATTATTGCTGATGATATAGCATGCGAATGAAAATTATGGATTATTGTTATGCAAGTGTTTATTCGTTGTTGTATGATTATGAAGGTGAGGCTCCCAAGTCCCAAAATATGCGATTGATTCTGGGAATTTTGTCGATTTATCCAATTTTCCTTGAATTTATTGTCACATTGTATTAGTGTATTGTCGGGATTTCACTAAGATGCCCTTTGTAGTATGTAAGTGGCGGTATGTTTGGAAAAATAACAATTTCTTTTAGTTTCTTAGTTGGATATGTGACACGTTTTTTGGACATCCCAAAATGGTGTACATGACTTTTGATTCTCTGACTTAAGTGCTAAAAAGTTGGAGAGAATTTGATGTAGTGACGAAACTCTCACTTGAGAATGTTATAAACCGAAAGTTAGGACTTAGGAGGGAAACTATATGCCCCTCTACCCTTTTATATTGTGTTTGGATAAAGAAAGGGGGAGGAAGGGGAGGGGAGGGGAGGAGTGGGAAGAATGATGAGTTTTCTTTTCAAATCTCTCCATTGTTGGAGAGATCAATTGCTTACAATTTAATCTTTCCGCATTTGTTATCCCAAATAAAAGATACTTTATCCCTCCATTTTCCTTCCTTCCATTTCTGTAAAAGTTTGAAAGGGCTTAGAGAGAACAAAGAAGGGAATTCAACTTGTTGGAAGAGAGCAGGAAGAAATTTTCTATGAACATTACTCAAAACATGTTATTCAGTGTTGCTTGACTTTGTAATCCTCCTAGAATTGATATTTGATCTATGAAGTCATGAGCTGCTGTTGCTCGTTTTTGAAGAGACTTCATCATTGGATGGATAGTCAACTTGGGTTTTGAAATAAATTTATTTGAGTAGTATAGAGTTGCTTTGTTTTGGTTTATTCTGATTCCAGCATCCAAAAGGGGTTTTCTTCTCTCTCTCTCTTTCTCCCCAATTAATATACTTTATGTGCTGCATATATGCTCTCTTTCAATCAATAAACGCCCTTTTCTAAAAATAGAGCATAAAAAGTTATTCTCTTTTCCGTATTCTTGTATGGAATTGCTTCGCGGACTCTAGGCCACTGAAAATGTTCAAAGAGTGCCGATTGTCTCTTCAATCAGCTTCATGCAATGTAAGTACGAGGAGTCTAGTAGCCTAGAAGTTTTACCCTCGAGAACTACAGCCCTAAGATAAATTGTGGGTTCATTGCTATAATGCGGAATTTCTGAAGAAACTGAGCTAGATAACAAGGGAAAAGTTTCCACAAATTCTGCAACTAATCTGATTCTTCCTTTATACAGAAATAATACTCCTAAGTCCTAAGACAAGTAGAAGGCATGGAAGCATAAAATGAGAAAATAAAGCCTCTTGCCCATGCTTTCTAATAATTGTCTACGAATCCCTGACTTGACTGTATCAACTGACCTCTATTCGTTGATGAATTATATATGCGATGATTTTTTTTGGGATATACTTTGGTTTGGTAAAAAGTCCACAAGCTCTAAAGCAACCAAAATCTTCTTGTTTTTTTTTTTTTTTTTTTAGGCAGTTCCCTGCTTTTTACATGAGGGAATTTGTCCTTGTACTGTTAAAAATAGAATGGAGAAGTTGTAGTGTATTGACAAAGAGGCTCTGTGACTTAAAATTTTACTTATGTCATGTATCCAGTGGCACTAAAGAAGAGCACAAAGCCCGGATGGCCTGCCTTTTTAATTTTTTTTCTTTGTAATTTGCTTTGTTAAGAGAAAACTCTGATGAAGTTTGGTCTTTTCCCAGTTGGTCATTTGAGACTTTGATATTTAAATAGTAAATGACGGGCCAAAGATATCTGATTACACAATTGGAGTAAAGCTATTATATCTACATAGTGCCAAACAGTGTAAAACTGTTTTACAGAAGCTCGAAATTTCCATGGCCAAACACTCTTAGACTCCTGTTTCTCAAAAGTTTTTCTTCAAAACTGTATCTGGAAAATTACTACTAGGAAACAGAAATAACTGAGGTCTTCTGGGTATTTGTCAAGAATTACAACTATATGATTACTTTGTTGGGATAAATGCTTTGTTGAGATATTATTAATTTTGAATGAATTTTAGCTGTTGTTCATTTTTCTTGTTTTTGTGATTGGTAGATAACAAAATTTTGAACATGAGGTCTGTGGGCAAGAATTGTCTTTATGATGCTATACATGATACTATGATAGTGGCTTGAAGTCAAAAGTCATATAAAGGACTGATGCCATTTTTTTTAATCTCTGAAGCAGCATTTTTTTGAGCTGGACTAAAGCAATATAACATCAATTTTGGCTTATGCTATGGGAAGCACTGGTGGACAAAAGCTTTCAGGATTGCAGAAGCATGTCCTGAATCTTTACAGAGGTTTTCTGCGAGCAGCCCGTACCAAACCACCTGAAGGTCGTCGTCAGGTTGAATTGATTGTATCTGAAGAGTTTCGCCGCAATTCCAAGCAAATTGATCGCAAGAATTTTGTTTACATAGAATACTTGCTTCGACGTGGTAAAAAACAACTTGATCAGATCAAGAATAGTGATATTGTCAGCTTGTCATCCATGAAGGTTGGTGGGGCTGAGAATAAAGATACGTAGGTCAGCAGCCGATGCCATCAGTTATGGTAGGAAGCTAGTTGAGTACAATAAGTTCTGTGACATCTTGATAAATTTTCTCATAATCGAGCATTTGTCTCTGACAAAGAATCTTATTGTAATTTAAGAAAGCAGGAATGGTTTCTATGTCAATAGGAAATCCTATAAAATTTGTGTGCACCAGTTCTTGCATCAATATGGGTGGCTAGACAGAGCAATTGGGAGGATTCCTGTCATATTTCAATTTCAAATGGGATGAAAATTTTCAGGTTACTCCCTCAGTGTTGCTCTGGTTATTGCAGTGGCTAGATCACACATCGTTCTTTTGAGTTTTGTGAAGGGACTTGTTGCACGTACATTGGCTCGTTCCATAGGCCATAATAACTGGTGGAAATTTTTATGAATTTCTATTTAATCGTCATAGTAAAGTTGCATACAAAAAGTTCACATATTATTGTTTGATTTTTAAGTGATTTCAAAAGTGAGAATTGAAATGTTGAAATTCAATTCCAAAATTATTGTTTGTTAAAATATTGAAAATTTGAAAACCAGAATTCAATTTCATCAAAAAAATAAAAAAAATAAAAAAAAAATGATGCCTGCTTTTTTTTTTCAGAGAACATTAGATATTATAATATTTGATCCCAAAGCAAGGAATAATCAGACTTCCAAGGGGAAAAAAAAAACCGAGAACAAGTTTTAAAGTGTTTGAAGAGTTTTTACAAAGTTGAATGTCAATCTTCACGTAGAACTTGTAGGGAAGGTAAGCTTCTTCATCGATGGTAAGAAAACTTCAATGCAAATTACCGCTGTAGAGTTGCAGACTTCAATGTGACTAAAAGGTGGTGATAATTAAAGAAGGAACCATTCGGTGGATACGGGAGAGTGCTGATCGATGTAGAGAAACACAACACAAATATATCAGCTGTTGATTATGCTCATTGATCCGAAAATTTTCAGCCATACATAGACCATACATAGAATACAAGCATAATTAAGTGGCTGTACATGGAATATACAAGACGTGTTAATTTATCGTTCTGAAATTCTGGACATAATACATCTATCGGCTACATAAATTTGTTTTTATGTACAAAGGATACTCGAGTACACAGCATTGACCAACAGGAACAACACTAGAATACTATAGTCCTATGTCCAGTTATAGTGTTCAAACCCTATAGTTGTCACACAGAGAGAATCTATACTCCTAATGTAATCTTGGTCAGAGTTTTCAGTTCTACATAGCTAACTCTACCGCACTGTATTGGTTTTCTTGGGTGATTTTTTTATCAGATTGCTGCTAGAGAATGTTAATGGCAATTCTTCTTCAGCAATGTCTTTTGTATCCGGCAATCTATTAGACACACTGTCATTTTTTGTTTTGCTTCTCTGATGCTTTGGTTGATCAGGGTATTCAGGAATGTCTCGGTATAAATGATTCAACACAAAGAGTGCAGTATCATGGTCGCGCCAATAGTTTCTGCACATATAACAGAATATATGTAAGGCAGTTAGACTGATAAATAAAACATGCACAAATCTCATAACATGCTGCATTTAATACTAGTGATTGGAAACATACGTGTGTGCTCCAATAGCTGATATATATGAATGCTGAAAAGTTTTATCCTACAATATTCATAAGAAAATCCAGTCAAAAGCATGAAATGCAATAAACAGTCCAAAAAGGGGTAATTACAATAAACTAAATTTAAGACCAAGAAGGAAGTTCGGTTAAAACAATCCTAAGGTTCCCAACTATAACCAACATGCGCAAAATAATCACTTATACTACAAACTATTCACTACTTTGGAATATTCTGAAAATTTGTAAGCTCTCTGAAAAAGACCTCCCTGAAATATTCAGAGTTGTATAAATGTAAAATCCATAAAACTATGTTAATACTTAAATTACTAAAACTACAAAGTACATACTTTAGTATTAAAATATATCTAAAGCACAAAATTTGTCTAGCTGGACACTACTATTCCAGTGTTTTTTTTTTTTTTTTTTTTTGAGGGGGAGGGGGGCAACATTTCTAGGTCAGATTACTTTGCACACATCAGCACTAGTACACATTCAATAAAAAGCATGAAACAAGAATGTTTACAATTAGTAATAGCAACAAGCCATTACAGAAACTCTAAACTCAAAAGCCAAGATTCATATATGCATTTAGAGCAAAATTCTTTGAGTTCTAGAGATTTCACTTTAAGGTTGGTGATAAGGAATAACTATAAGCGCATATAAGTGCTATTTTGCTAACATATATGATGGCATTGTTGAAATTAAGTTAAAGTTTGTCACGGTGGAAGGGATTTTGGGGGTAAATATGATGGCAAAAAGTACCACTACGTGCATAATAGTACACAAAAAGTACTATTAAGACAACTTATACTTTAATGGTGCATTATACATGCATAATAGTTCAAATAATTGTACCACTGTAGAAAAACATCAAACGAAAAAAAAAAAGAAAAAAAAAAAAAAACCCAAAAATGTCCTCCTATATACATGCTTAATAAATAGGTGCTATGCGCCTATATGCACTCGGTGATAAGAGCTGCTCTATTCCGAATTCAAGGGGGTAGAGATATGCTATTCTCGCAAGTGTCCACTTTTTGAAATTACCTTCATCTCACAATATCCCCCTGTAGGACTACACCACTGAGATTTTTTTCCTCAAGGAATCCTTACAACTTCCATATTAAGAGAGGCTGATGAAAGGAAGGTGGATTAATTTGTTTCAACTTTACTCCAATATAAAAGGTCAACTGGATGCCGACATCTTAGGGTTTTCACTTGTAAATGTTTCAGAATACCTGTCATATCAGCAGCAAATGTTGATCCTTAACTCTTGGCAAATTCATTTGGAAAACCAAATGTATCACAAACTTGATGCAAATGACTGAACCACGATTTCCAATAAACCAACACCAAAACTTGAAAAAGAACATTTTTGGGCTTTATCTTTAACAATGTATTTGTATGAGGAAATTGAAAGGGAGTGGAGAGCAGTCCATTAAACAATATTTGGAAAAAAAATGAACATAGGTTGGGGAATGGAATTGACAAGATCTATTTCCTTCCCATTTTGATAACCCAAAGCTTTCCAATGACAGAAAATCTGGAAGGAATATACAAGTCCACACTTTACTTCTCCTATTTTTTCCATGGTTGATAACTAAACACATTGTAAAAGTGAGTGCTCTGCAATTTGCTAGCTGTACGAGTAAGGAGCCTCTTTTCATATTGATCTATCTAATTCAGTTTGTTTTCAAAGGGTGCCCCATCCCCAATATTAGTTAATTTTCATTTGACTTAAATTTATACATATTTTGTCAGCTACAGAAGATTAAACCATATAAAATTAGTTTGTGTTTACTATAATTTGATCTTTCACGTAAGATCGTACAAATAGAAATTCATGAACCAAGTATTGCCAGATCACTAACTACGGATAAAGTGCTTCTCCCAAGCCCATTATGGGTTTTCAATTATGTTTCCCAAGAGAACAATGAATGGAAAATATCACCCCCCCTTCAAAGAATCCTTAAAATCTACTCGTATTCAGATATTCTAACTTTAGCATAACAACATTTTTCTTAACAAAAACCACTATCGTCCACCCAAAACCAAGATACTATCACATCCCTTATTGCATTCCCCACAAGTTGCAATATTAAGCAATGAAACTGATCATGTGACCAAAAACTTTAAAAAGCAAAGATGAAGAGGAGCTGAAGTGTTCAGTACGCAGACCTGAAGGACATGATCGATTCGTCCATCTTCACTCCCAGTTAATCTCTCCATCATATAAGAACCATAAGATCGCACTTCCTCATTGACATCCTCCACCTCTTCTGCAATATATCCAATAGTTACAGAAAGAAAAGCAGCAATTGGAGGAACAATTTTTTAAAAATTATGAGGCTCCCCTTTATTTAATAGTCCAACCAGAGCAATTTTATATGCACAACAGCTAGTAAATTGTGCGTGGCAGAGCCAAGGGTAAATCTTTGACTATGTGGTTGCACTTTGTGAACTAATGTGAAAAAAAAAAAAAAAAAAAAAAAAAAAAAAAAAAAATCCTTACCGGTTGTGCAATGAATATCCTCATCCAACCGGCAAGGAAGGCCTATATTAAGAAAATAGAAAATCTGCAATTACCTTCGAGCCTGTCCTTCTTTGATTGACAAACTGTAAGCACCTGAACCTGCCAAAACAATTATACTTCTGTAAATCCCATTCCTTTCCAAAAACAGTACTCAGATACAAGGATGCATACAATTAAATAATTCAATCACATACAATGGGTTAACAAATGCGGGTAAGTGAATTCCTCCAGGAAACAAAAGATTTGGATTTTGCAATAAAAGAAATCATTACACAGAAAGACTGCAAGACTAAACTGATCTCTTTCAAGAAATTTGACTGAAATTGGGCTACAAAGATCACGCAAGATTGGAGGAAGAGCACCTTGGTCCCGGTTTATAAAAACAAAGGAGACGATCAAGATTGTTCTGACTCGAGGCATCAAGCTTATGAGCCACACAATGAAGTTGTGGGAAAGAGTGATTGAACATAGGTTGAGGGCATGCACAAGCATTTCGGATAACCAATTTGGTTTTATTCCTAGGAGATATACTATGGAAGCAATCCATTTGATAAGACAAATGATGGAATTTTATAGGATAAAGAAGAAGGATCTTCATATGGTCTTTATTGATTTAGAAAAGGCATGTGACAAAGTGCCAAGAGAGGTAATTTGGTGGGCAATGTTGAAGAAAGGTATCCCACGAAGGTACGTGAACCTGGTTAAGGATATGAATCAGAATGTGTCAACCAATGTGAGGACATGTGGAAGGTTGACAAAAGATTTCCCTATTACAACTGGATTGCATCAAGGGTCAACATTAAGCCCTTTTCTTTTAGCAACGGTTCTAGATGAAATAACTAGACCAATTCAAGATGAGGTTTCATGGTGTATGTTGTTAGCAGATGATATCGTTTTAGTGGATGAAACTAAAGATGGGGTTAATGCCAAGTTGGAGCAATGGAGGCAAAGGTTGGAATATAGAGGGTTTAAGTTAAGTTGGAGTAAGACTGAATATTTGGTATGCCGCTTTTGTACTTAGAGGGGGACAAACAATGATGTAGTGAGTTTGGATGGAAAGGACTTGACGATGAGTGAATCTTTTAAATATATTGGGTTGATCATCCAGAAAAATGGGGACATTAATCAAGATGTGGCCCACAGGATTAAGTCGGGGTGGCTTAAATGGAGAGCGGCCACGGGAGTGTTATGTGACCGAAGCATTCCCTACCAGTTAAAGGGAAAACTCTACACGACGGCCATAAGACCAGTGTTGCTTTATGCTACAGAATGTTGGGTTCTAAGAAGGAACACATTAAAAAGATGAAAGTTACGGAAATGCGCGTGTTAAGGTGGATCTGCGGGAACACCTAAGATATAGAATATGAGGTTATTCGCAAGAAAGTTGGTGTGGCAGGCATTGCACACGAACTAAGGAAAAATCGTCTGCGTTGGTTTAGGCATGTAAGACAGAGACCCGAGGGTGCACCGGTACGAAGAGTGGAAGAGTGGGACCATGGAGGGGTTAAATGAGGGAGAGGGAGACCGAAAATGACTTGGTTGGAAGGATTTAGGAAGGATATGGATTTGCATGAGAATGAGACATTGGATCGTAAAGGACGGAGGAGGAAGATTTTTGTCGATGAGTACACGGAATAATCAAATTTAGTTCATGTAGCAGACCCCACTTATGAGATGAAGGCTTTGATAGATTGATCACACGGAAAGACTGCAGGACTAAACTGATCGCTTTCAAGAAATTTGACTGAAATAGGGGATCACCAACATTAACGAAAGTGATATGAGAACTGGAGCTATTCATAAACTAGGAATGTGCAATGATCCTAATTTGATAAGTTATTATAGAAGGAAGTAAAAGGGAATTACTGGTAATTATTAATGAAGAGGCAATTATGAGCTTATGCAAAAAGATAGGAAGTTTACTGAATTTCAGGAGAATTTATTATGCAGTGTGTTATGTTGTAATCCCACTTATGGAATTAAGGCTTTGATTGATATTGATTGATTGTGTTATGTTGTAATGCTTTCTGTTAGGCTCTATGTAATAATAAAAGGAGACATGTAGTAAGAAAGGGAAACAGAAATTTGTCGTAAGAGAAACTCATCGGGACAGATGTCCACCTCTTGAATGTGGGAAGTTTTAATTAATTACACAGATTAGTTAATACAAACTATTGCTTGCCTATATTCAGTATTCATACGATTAAGTACCAGAATTACTAGGGATTCCTAGAAGAATGACTTCCGCTTTCTCTAATTTCTAAAAGACAGCTTAGGTACAGGAACATCATCACGAGTTAACTCAAGCCTTTCTATAACATAAACGATTTTTAATAAATATTTTCTACTAACTTTCCGCAAAAAGTCAATTTGTCACATACTAGTATATTTTAAAACATACCACAATATCCGTTATACTTGAAGATATAATCCATTATTAAAGCCATTTTATATTGCTATAATAAAGTTCACATATAACAAATCATCAAATTCACAGTTTAGTCACTATAAATATTAAGAATTAAAAACCTCTCTTTTCCTAAAAAAAATAAAATAGAATAAAAAAATAGAAAATAGAAAAATATTAAAATCATGAAAAAATAAAATAGACAAAAATACTGAAGGTCTAGAGAGATCGAGAGGACAAAAGAATCATGCTGTTGTGGTTGTGCTGCTTCCAAAGGGACATATTGCTAAATTGGGCATGAATTAGCAATCAGGAGGGCTTTAAACCATTTACAGTTCTTTTTAAAGAAGGTATCCAGGTAAATATTAATTATATATGAAAAAATGTATATAATGCGGTATTTTGGTAATTTAGCTGAATATGTAAGGGCATGTTGGGAAATTCATTAAGAGCAAAAAAAATGGTTGAACATTTACAAGTAGATTTAGCATTTTTGAAACCAATGTTGTACTTTCATACAAAAATATTAAACTTTTGACACCAATGCTGTACATAAAAATTGAAACGGAAAGTTCACACTATTTTGCAAGCATGTCATTGATATATACAAATATGTGTGTATCAATTTCATTTAGGAATTTCTCCTTTTAAATTATCATCCTCGAAATTCCATTCTTTAATTTGATATTTTTGTCAAACTGATCAATCAATCTCAACCTTGACACAAACCCAAAGCTATTAACAAAGGGTTTATCAAATTAACTATGTGCCAGTTCAGTTCAGGTTTTCCTCAGGTAATTTTTCATCAGTTCTGTACATAAGCAATGGACCTTGATCCTCCTTTCTCTTATCTGGTTGCAAACTTGGACGAGAATAGGGGGTGCTTATAGAAGATAAATATCAAACTTATGAGCAGAAGTATTGACTAGTGCTCATCTCTAAAATGTGAGAACATCATAGCAGAGCATTAGTGCAATACAACAAAATAAGAGCATTCACCTTGACGTTGATCTCAGTTAGCGTGTAATTTACCAATTACCATTCACCTAGTGATTATAGAAACTAGAATTGTTGGCAACACAAAGATAAGAGCACAAGACAATACTACAGGCCATAGTAGAACTCACCTTGACAGAATTTAGATGTTTCACAAATGACTCAGATCTTGCAGCAAAATCTTCAGCAAATTCCTGCAATTCATAGCATAATCCAGAAATAGTGAGAAAGTCGGGAAAAGGAATGGCAATTGAAGTGGTTATAATGCTTTCTGAAAGCCACACCTGAAGTCCAATATGCAATCGTTTGCCTCCTTTGTGATAGGGGATTATGACAGGGCGTTTGCTGATATATTCTTTACAAACCAGAGGTTCTATTCTGAGATAAGACCCAAAAATAGTAGTTTTTATATCATATAAACAAATGAGCAATTACGAGCATTACATGCAGAATAAATGCAAGTATTAACTAATATCACTAATAATTTTCAAATTAGCTTTTACAAAGCCACAAATCTGTCAGAGATTATCCCGGTCAATAAAAAGCGAGAGAGCAACATGGTCACAGTAACCAATGAGCACTCAAGTCAGTCTGGCACTCTGACCATTGGTCCTTTTCTCCAAAGAAATAAGATGAAACCTCTTTAACTTTCTTACCACCTCTTGCTCTTACCATGAAAAGATAGTGGTTCGTAAAACGTAACCAATGAGCTAAAAATCAAGTGAGCATCTGCTGGTTCTTAGTCTTTTGTGGGGTGGAAGGTTCCAGCATACAAAGATAATAAAAATGAGAATCATCAATGGCAGTGAATGGAATGCCATTAGAATTGACCGATTTTATACATAGAGGTGAAGTTAAGCTGTCAAACATGAAGTTTCTTAATTTGCTCTCAATCCTGATTCAGATCTATAAGCTCAAAATAAAAATTTGATCAGCTGGCAATGAAATTCTGACTACTATTACTCGTAGATATATTGCCTCTTCCTAGAATCTAACAATATTAAAATTACAAGTAAACAACAATCAGCCTACAAGCCATATGGACATCAACAGATTTCTAATCGGATCATTTGATGGGTACAAATTTCTTACAATAAACATCCTATCCAAACAACAATTCATTCTCCAAACCCTCCATGTCTTCTTTTTGTCTCTCCCATCCCTTTGCCCTCCTTTCCACATTCAAGTCGTAACCCTTTTTCAGTGCGTACTCATGCCACATCCAGAATTGAAACAGATTTTACAGCCTATAACTAGCGTTGTATCAAAACCAGTAAACAATGAATTTCAACACGTCTGAGTAGCAGTCTAATACATAAAAAGTGTAATAATAAGGTGGAGATTACCTATATGCCACAGGATCAAAAGGGTGAAAGATGTTGAACATCTGCTGACAAGCAGGCATCTCTTCATTTATATTCTCCTCCCCCCAGTATTCTCTCCCTTCACCTACAAGAGCAGAAATCACGATACATAAAACTGGGAAACCCTAAAAATGCAATGAAAACAGAGAATATATCAAAGTAATTGCAGTTCCAAGGAGGATAAAAATGTATGCAACCCCATCCTATACAACAAAGGCTGATGCTCCCCAAAGTAAAGCATAAAATAACCCAAAATAAGCACTGAAAAAAAAAAAAAAAAAAAAAAAAAAAAAAAGATAGTTAAAATTTTGTATAGTTACGTTAGTAATCTCTTCACCTCATTTTCCCTTATATTACTGGCCTTGAACTTATTTTATCTTATTATCAGTACAATTCAACCCGTATCTTATTTGACCTTATTATTAAGTCTTGTTAGACCTTATTGGAAAGATTAACCCTTATCTTATGGTATCAAAACTTATCAATCCTTATCTTAATTGAGCTTATTAAATCTTATCTGAACTTATTTGTTAGCCCTTATCTCATCTTATATGAACAATAAGGCCTTTGATAAGAGAACATAAGGTAAGAAGAACAAAGCAGAAGTTAAGAATGTTTTGATGAAGCACTAAATACTTTATACATAACATTTATCCACAGCCAATAATAAATCCTTATGAAGAGCAAACAGTAAATAAGTAATAAAATTAAAATTATAAATACCCATGTTAGTATGATGTAGTCACTCTCTTTAGTCTTTACCCTTCTTAATTTGCACAGTACAGAATTCTGACTTAGAAAATACTAAAACAACATCATGAGACAATCTCAATGGTCTGAAATTAACATTAACTAAAAATGTCACTGAAAATCAAATACAGGAGTTTAACATAGCATTAAACTAAACAGCAACCCAACATAATCTAAACAGAAAATTTCTTTGTTTTTCAAAATATATTGGTCTTTAGTGCTCATAAATCAGCTAAAAGAATCTTTTGGTGGAAGAGGAATTTCTATAATCATTGCTGTATCAGACAGGATTTGTACCCATTACCTACATTTTTAAAAATTTATAATAGCAAAACGGAAAAGTAAAAGAAAAGGTCTACAATAAAGGAGAAGATCAACCACCTGTATACAACATCAACTACTAGATAAACAAAAAAGGAAATACTATTCTCTGATGAGTGGAAAGTATAGATTATTAGGGAAAAACACCATCCGCATAAGTTTAAAAGCACAAATTTAGAATAATCCAAAGACGTTTAAGACATACCAATTCCAATGCGGACATTTCGAATGGAAAGAAAGACACCAAGAGGGGACCCAGCTGCAAAGAATGTATGTACCTGTTGCATAGCAAACATGTTTGAATTTGAAAGGACTGCACTAAAGATCTTACAGATGGGAATACGAGAATACAATAAACGAATGGTATTAACAGTTTTAAATTACCTTGAATTCAAGCTTGGTGTACTTGATAAAAGGTTTATAACTCGTGGATAGATCGTTTTGACTGGTCAAAATCTTTTTGGATTCATCTTGATTTGAGGTGCCTGGATGAACTTCATGACTCCCTGCATAAGAAAAAATGCATAACATAGAATAAAAGACACGGACTAAGACACATCAATGCAGAGGATGTATAAGAAGAAAAGAACTGAATACGGTGCAAATAAAGAAAGATCATTGATCACCTTCCAAAGACCTGCTACTAGTATCATTACAACCAAGTTGAGCTTCCAATTGTGCAACACGTGCTTTTAAAAACTCAACCTGTAGCGATAGAGAGAAAAGGTTAAAAAAAATCAATTAAAATATGGAAGCTGAATTATGAAACGATCAGGCAGAAGATACATTCCCTCGCACCTCTGACTTGAGATCTTGAATAGTCTTGTGTTCATCACTAGTATCTGACGTTTGCAGAGGTTCGGCTACATTTTCTGAAGCATCAGGGTTCACGAGATTATCCAAATTGGTATTTGCCTCCAAGTTTTCAGTGGTGTCACAATTGACATCACAGGCTTCACTCAAGGTTCCATTTTCTTCTGGACACACATCGCTAGGACTGCAAAGGTGATCCTGACCATCTTCTGCTGAAGATTTAGTGCCAGCTTGCATTTCACTCACTTTCAGCGTAGAACTTTCATCTCTAATAGTGAAGGAAGTTGGACTAATATCAGAAACTAGACAGTCTTCAGAGTCAACATTTTCAAGCAAAGACGGAACATGATGTCCTCCTGACTTGTCTTCATTTGAAGTTTCCTGAAAAGTTCTAGTACCATCATCCATGGAGTTGACTTCAGAGGGCATTTTAGAAATATTTTCCGCTGTCTCGTCTTCTTTATCATGCTTTGTATACATAAATTCCATTGGAAATGGGGAGGACAAATTCTCTTGGTGGCAGAGAATATCATATGAGAGAACACTTCCCAAGGAATGACCATACAAGGAAACCTACAAAATTTATCATGCATTTTTAGCATAACTTTTTGCAGAACAAATTAGTTTTGGAAAGTAGTGCAAGTCAGGCCAGAGTAAGAAAGTAAAATTCACAGCAGTTCTACCTTTCCGTCATACCCTGGATTCCTCTTCAGAAACTTCAAATATAAACGATTCAGTTGGTTTGAAACCTGTGAAAGGACAATGGACCATCTATATCATCCATCAAACTGACTCCAATCTAAGTATGACCCACAGTTAGGAATAAGGTCACAGAGACATTAATTCCAGGAGGAAAAAACAAAAAGCAAGTTCAATGCAGCACAGAATTAAATATGTATAACTCAAGCATACACTAGCCAGCAACAAGAGATTCAAATCTAACTAAAATAGAATAGATCATCATGAGTACAAGAAAATGTCAGCTACAATAGACATAGATTTTACAAACCAGCACAACTCCAAACTTCAAATATGGAAGATAAAAATAATTTCAAAATATAACATTTGGTTACCAATCTCATCATTCAATTACCTTTAAAAAAAAAGGACATACATGTGACAATAGCTATAGTTCTCTACCCTCTCTGCTATTTTCTGGGAGGTAGATGATTAACAAGAGAGACATCAAAAATGGAGGGAGTACTAAACACTTGGATTGATATCTAAAAATTTGTTTACAACATGACCAAGTACTTGAAATATGGATATGCATTATCAAACTTCCAAAAGAAATCCATCAAATATTCTTTAAAGGCAGTGCATTCGTGACATGAAAACCACATGCTAAACGTATACTCTTCCTTACAAGAGCAAACATATATATATTGACTCGTAAATAATATTACCCTAGCCAAAGAAGCACAGAATCAATAAAGAGCTCCAAGAGTAATGTTATAATACCGAGTCAATAATCTCCTGGCAATAGATGGGGCTCATGTAGTACAACACATCATGAACAGTCGCACTTAGCGTAGTGCGCAAACCTCGTACACCATCTAATGTAATTTTCTCCACAGCAGATTCTCCGCTGAGCTTCAAACCCTTTCTCCACTGAAATAGACAAAAGCCAAGTATGCAAATTTCATTTAGCTAAGACCCACTTATCAAAATTATAATCTTTGCAGGCAAGAAAAGTATTCTAACTAATATGCAAGTAACAAACAATGCAACTACAGAGCACAGCTCAAAGCTAAGCTATTTTTGTCACAAGTCTCACAAGGAAATCCCATTAGAAACCACAGCTGCATGCATCACAAATAATAATAGAGAAGTGATTTGGCTATTCCATCCCATGGTCTTCCTACAAGTTAATATTTGAACAAAGAGAAGCAATTTGATTCCATCCCCAAAAAATCAAAGCTGCAAGTATACCATTTTACATGTATTCCTAGTCTAGTTGAAACAATATTTTGACACTTCCATGTTGCGACACTGAAGAGGATTGAGAAAAGCTAAGGTCTAAAATAACTTATCTCAAAACTTGACAAGAGGATTGAAGCTATGGGGAGTTAGACGCAAAAATAGTGGTAGGTTATTAATGGGAGCTTATAGATATAAATTCATGAACCATCAAAGCTTGTGACAACCAGGGTGCATTAAAAATGTAAAAGGGTATGGTTAACTTAAAAGGGGTACTTTTAACCTACTAACTTTTATATAATATTATAAATTTTATATATAGATCTTACTGTTTTGCTTAAAATGAGGAGTAATTAATTGAGCCTCCCTTCTCGCTACTGCTTTTGAAAATCTCACGGAACAAACTTCACAAAACTTATTTGAATTGGGTTCCAAACAACAGGAGAGAGAGACAAAAGAAGCAGATAGAAATTGGATATACAAGCAGTCACTGCCACATCACAACAGCAAGAGACAACGAGCAGCAGGCGACGACAGCATAAAATGCAACACCAGCAGGAGCACCAGAAGCAATAGGGGCAGATGAGTGCTGCGACAGCAAGGACAGAGAGTAGTTGCAGAAGATGGAAAATGAAACAATAAAGGGAAGATAGAATGATGAAAAATGATGTCAAGAGGAAAAAAGCCAAACAAATAAAGGATATATAATTTCACAAAAACCTGAACGCAAAACACAAGCCATTTGCCAGGAAGCTAAAGCCATTTGAATAATTTCTAATTGCATTTAGGAAAATATTAAAAATATTTTTTTAAAAAAAACAATGTTTAGGGTATGCAAAAATACAATATTTAGGGTATGCACATGCATACCATCCGCAATACATTGTAGATATCCTGCCCACATGCAAGGGAAGGCCACCTGAATGGGGAGAAATGACTCAGACCTACAGCCATGAGTAAGAGAGAAAGAGGAGGGGAGGGAGGGGGGGGGGAGGGGAGAGGCCGAGAAAGATAGAGGCGCCTATAAGGGCAGTTGAGTTGTTTAATGTGACATATGACATTATTACAATTATGTGTATGATACAACTTACACCAATGTAAACAAGTATTATATATATACGTATACTGATTAACACCAGAAAGTATAATTGAATCGTTCGCCATCCTCCCCACCCCAAATCCATGATAAAAAATCAAAAATAAAGATTAACAGAAAGAAGCACAATGAGTAAAACATAATAAGAACATACAAACACCTGATGATTAAACCCTTACTTGGCATGGAATAAAGAGGACTCTCTGAATGCCACGCTGATATGATGTCAGGTGTTTTTCAGCTAAACTTGAGGTGATATGGCGATAAGTTGCCACATCGTCAACCAGATTAGATTTCTCCAGTCTTTGACCAATGCCGTGAACCATAAAAACTAGATGGCGAACCGGAACCTAAAAATACAATAACAATAACAATAACAATGAAAAACAAATCCATATAACCAAAATCACATGTCACCAAGCTGGGAGAAAAGAGGGGGGGAGGGGGGGAATAAAAAATGATCAAGAGCCGAGTGAAAAACTGTTCAAAATAAATACTGTACAGAAACAATGTTAAGATGAAGACTAAATAAGTATTCCCAATAAAGATGAATGACGTGTATGAATCTAAGAACATGTAAGTGTATCATGTAGCCGTCTCCCCTCTTTTCTTCTGATTCCATAGCTGCTATAACAGAAGTGCTTGGCTACTGGACATGCAAGAGCATAAACTTACTTTCCCAGGTCAAGAGAACAAGCTAATCTAAAAAAAATTTCCAGAATATAGTCATGATGGCCTATAAGCTTAATTTAAAAGGCACAGAGCAGAACATGGCAGCAACTGTTCCTGGGTTACATAAGACACAAAAGAAAAGATGACAGCAGAAGTGCATTGTTTGAGGATAGAGGCACTATCCGCTTGGCAGCCTATATTTAGAAGATGAAGTAACCAAATGGCAGGGGCATTTTGATGGTGTCAGAAATTTATATACTCAAAAGATTTCTTTACAAGATCTAATCATCTAACAACTTTTACATTGTATTTAAGTCATAGTGCAAAACTTTAGCAATCAGGCCTTTTGTAGAACACCACCAAAAAAAGCCTTCAGTTGCTACCTTGCTATAGTATTTTAAACATCACACTCCATTAAGGCATCCATATAATAGAGTACCATATCTAAGATAGAGTACAAGTTAGACCTCTTTCTACATTGTCTTTCTGTTTCATGGTGGGGGGGTAATAGAAGTAAAAAGGCATGTACCTCAGAACAATAGTCATCCATCTCTTCCTCTTTTTGCTGACGCAACTCATCCTACAATAAACAATGAAATCTTAAAAACCAAGAGGTTCATATGAACATCTACAGAGAGCTGCCCTCAACTGCCCAATATCACAGAAAACAAAACTAGGGTTTTAACATCTTGGGTGTGATCACGATTGCAGTAATGAACAGCAGTTAAAATCAAAACCACTTTGGAAGGCAATGCAGATGACTTGCAGCTTGTGGCCTAGTATCACTGTCACATTAAGCTCAAAAACATTTACAAAGCTGATATACACAGATCAATCATTTGCTATTGCTCCATCACCAACATTATGTTATAAGCCGACTACATAATCATAATTATCAACAAATTGATTAAGACAATTTGAAAATCAATTTGCAAGTCAACAATTGTCTACATTACTATATACAAGATTCTAGTGAATCGATAATTAGGTTAAGGAAGCTTTCGGAGACAGTAAGTTGATTAGAAGGATGTCAGTTTTAGCAACTCTAAGCATAAGGTTTTTCTAAAATTAAAAGATATAAGGGGGGAGGGGGGGTTCTATAATATGGAACCTGTGTTGGTTTTGGAGATGGAGATGCAGCATATCCTCGTCTTAGCTTCACACCATTTCCTCCAAAATTGATGATAGTGGAAAAGCCTGAAGCATCGACATTCAGCCACGCCTCCCACGTGTCATCCTCTCCAGTAAAGAGGGCATGCAGTCCCTGCACATCAACAAGAAATAATTAAATTTGAGTTCAGAAGTAAGAAACACTTCTCCACTCAAGACAATATCATACTGGGGTATAGCCTTGTAATTCAACACGAGCTGCAAAAAGTCCAGATGGTTGAAATGTCCTCCGATGCCAAACCTAGAAAGGAAAATCAACCATATCAAAATTGTCAAATCACTATAATTAAGTAATTCAACCAAACACTAGGATAACAAATTCAGTCAATCATTCCTATCTTGAAGAGAATTTTTGAAAATGTATTAAAGAATGATGAAGATGTAAATATAGGCTTCGATACCACGGTATTACCACCCTTTTATATGCACAGAAATAGAAATCGCTAGACATTTCCTCAATAGCTCACAAAGAAAGCAACTCATTTCAGTAATCGAATTTATAACAAAACAAAGCTACCTCTATAGGCACTAGGGCAGTGTCCAAAGAAAAAAGAGTAGATTAAGAAGAAAAAAAAATAGATTTAGCCCCGAATTACGATTTGACTAATATATATTGTTTAATGGAGATTGGTTCAGGTGAACCTATTCTTTTGCATGATACTTATAGCTATTGACACAACATATTGAAGAGTAAATCTTCAAAGAAACAAAAAATATATATACTTCCTCACCTCTTTTTTTATTACAACGTTGAGGTTTTCACACTTAGTGACACACATTTTATACCTTTAATATCGTTAACTATACTTTTGTAAAATTTATAAAAAGTTAATCATTTGAAAGTATAAATCGAGAAGAATCTAACTAAGACTCCACATGACTATGTTAATCCTAACATATACAACACAAAAGACTGCCAAAGGAGTAGGTGTGAATAGTGTAAAATCTCCAATGTTGTGATTAAAAAGAACAGAAGAGTATATTAAAAAAAAAAAAAAATTAAAAACCAAAATACCCAATTAATACACTATCTATAACAAAAGGCACTCATATCCTAATGAGCCAATTTGTATAACAGAAATTATATTGCTAACTAGTGACTACTCTATACTGGTTGGATTAGCAATCTGCCTTGATAAACCAATAAGCTATGAGCTTTGAGTAAGAACCTGGTCATGAGACATGCTAAACGGTCTCGATAGCTAATTAAACATATTTTACAAGTAATTGTTATCCACAAAAAACTTCCAAGAAACAGCTCCAGCCTAACACTTTTCTAAAAGCGGGAAGCTGTTTCAAATATTTATCAAATATTCAATTCATTCAACAAATAGAGTAAAGCACAAGGGCAAGCACTGATGTACAACACAAATTAAATATCCAAGTAAGCAACGAATATTACTTAGATTTTATGTTAGTCCTCCCCAAATATTTAAAGCTTCATGCACTTTTAACTAGCAACCAATTGCAGAACTTGCTAAGATAAGAATTTGCTAAGATAAATAATCTTTCACTGGAAAAGACATTACATTCCATATCAACACCAAAGCTTGAAGACAACAAACAGAGGATATCAAAGAATCAGAAACCTTTTAAGAAAATACTAAAAAAAAAAAAAAAAAGGGTTTTATCCAGAACAGGATAGTTTTCCAGATTACCTGTCTCCGATATGCAAACTCCAACTGCTCAGCAACATCTTCCCGAAGAGGAAGCCAATCAAGTCCTCCACTTTGTGCAAACCAATGACCTCTTAGAACGCGCCGATTCTCACCATTCCAGTACACTGGAAAGCAATGCCGTTTCACCAGATCCACCTGAGGTAATTAGCACATCCAAGGGTGACCAAGAATCAAGTTTATTAACCAAAGAATCAAAGTGTGCTCAAATCGCAAAGAAATCCCTCAATATTCATCAAAAACTGACAGGAATTTGATGAGATTTCATGAAGAACTCCTTAATCCAGTTAATGTCAGAAAACACACACACACACCCCACTACATGTGTGTATATATAGTCTTTATTTGGAAAGATAAAATCCAGTGGACTGCCCCCCTCGAAAAACTTAAACCCACAAGGCACAGGCCTGTAATAAAATTAATCTAATATCATCAATACTGTCCAAATCTTCCTTCCTTCCCTTAAATTTTGAGTCGCACTTCAAGGACAAATAATTAGTTAGATCTTTCTTGTATACATCACTCATAAGCTATAGAATCTTCTTATGGCATCTTTGTTACACAAAGTAGGTAGTCAATAATAGGTGACCAGCATGATACTTCCCAAAAAACTATTCAAACTCCAAAGCTCCATAGAATCTATAACACTTCATTCCTATCAGAGGTCATTACCCTCTCCACATGTGACCCCAAAACTATCTCAGCTGCTTGGTTCAACAACAAAAGCTCATCAGAAAAATGAACACTTAACTAGATGAAAAGGCTAGGTACAAGTAATGTGGATGGAGATAGAGAATCTCAAGGACATAAGGAATAGAGAATATCAAGGGCACATAAGGAATAAAGAATCTCAAGGGCACACAAGATGTGCAGTTAATGAAATACACCAGTAAACAAATAAGCGCCGTACCAGGTGAGGTGAACTAGTATCGACAATGACCAAGTGACAAACAAAGTTGATCACAAGCAGAGCCTTTTATCATCTCATGATAATCAAAAAGAGCCCAAAAAAATGAAAAAGAGTTTCTTCTCAACATTTTTGTCAGAAACTGACAAGAATATAATAACATTTCATGCAGGTCGATTAGTCCCAGTTAATGTCAGGACACACACACACACATGCATGTATGTATGTATGTATGTATGTATGTATGTATGTATATGGTTTTTTAAGATGAAATTTAGTGGGCTGCCACCTCCTCAAAGGGCTCGCACCAACAGAGCACAGGCCCATAAAAAATCAATCAAATTTCATTAATACTGTCCCAATCTCCCGTACTTCATAAAATTCAACTTCTCCATCTTTTTGTTTTGAGAATTAGCCACTACTTATTCATTCTTCTATGCTGTAGAAGATATACTGGACGGGAAAATAGAAAGAATCACATTTAGGTTATAATCCAGGATATTATACTCTTAACAAGTACCCAAATCACAGAACCAGCTACATAGCAGAGAGCATACTTTACAGTTGATCCATTCATGCACATAGAACTGAAGAAGCTAATACCTCATAGAGACCACCTTTCACAGGGACTCCAACTCTCTCTTCCTCCACAACATATAATTCAGATGTTAGAGGATTTTTTTGTAGATCTACAGTAGTTGAACCAGTCTGTCCTTTCGGGCCTTCACTGCATTCTGCATATTCCCTCCACCAATAGGACAGCAACTCTTCTTCTCTCTGTTGCCAACAAAAAAAAAAAAAAAAAAAAAAGAAAATAAAGAGGATATTTTTTAGGAAAGCAGATATTATATGCAAAAGTTGTGAGCCAAAGGAGTAAAGGCAACTATGGCATCAGAGTACAGCAATATGAACAGCATTGTAACCCAGCAGAAGTTTGAAAGAAATGATTTGTGACATCAGAAAAGAAAATTCACTCTAAATGGTTGCTGTGCGACTTGAGCCACATGTTATATAATGATATAGTATTTTCTTTTCCTTGAATTTATAGACTACTTGGCCTGAGACTCTGAAATGTGAGTTCATGCCTCCTAATCTTCATAGTTGACACAGCTGGGAGTAATCATAGTCCATACTCCATACAACATATGGGCCTTTCTACCTTCATTAATATTCTGTCATCAGTACAATTGTTTTTTTTTTTTTTTTTTTTTTTTTTTTTTGATGGGCAGTACAATTATTACCAACACAAATTATTTCTTACCGGAGTCCCAAAAGAAGTTACGGCTCCTGGGGTGCATTACATCACATAGAATTGACAAACATAAAAGGTTGATATTCGACATCAAATAATAAATTTGAAGGCATTCGGTCATCTACTTAAGTTTACAGGCACCTCACCTGCAAGAAAGCAGCCTCTATCGCTAGTGAATCTCTCATACCGAAGCGAAAATACTCTCCTTTACCAACAACCTCCACACGTGGAATCGAGGCAGCCAACTCTGTCCAACTACTACCCATCAGAAGCAATGTCACCGTAGCAAAACCTTGGATTTAAAAAGCATACAAATGCGAACTGGAATCTAAAAGCAAAGTCACTGGTTCTAGCTTTAACAGATACAACATGAATGATAATTGAGAACCTTGTACATTTCATAAATACATACACAGCTACCAAACGACAACATAACATCACCAAACTATGATCTTATACACATCATATATAATATTTTCACAACATTCAAATTGTGTCCATCCGACACCCTGGTGTAAACTTACACCCTCTCACATTATCCTCTCCATTCGCTCGCTCCCCCACATGAACTTGACACAGGGGAGAATGTGCCGGTCTAAAAGTTTACACCAAGATGGAAAATGAGACAATCTTAGGTATGTGAAAGTGATATTCTACACCCGGGATCTCCATTAATGAACTTATACTACGATCAAATCTATCAACTTTAATTCATAAATTACATACATCTTGTCCATATTGTTCAAATGTTATGCACATTCACTTCATATAATATTAAATTAATACTACCTGGGCAACAAAATTTGTCATATAGTTAATAGATTATGAACATACCATATGTTCTCATAATATAAACATTTATATGATCATTTGACACAACAATACATCCTATATTTATAATACAACAATTGGTGCTTAAACCATATGAAACATGATTAATAACAGCTTGTAATAAAATTATTGATCAAAGAAAATACTCACGATTTAGACCCAAAGGAACTTTGCAAAAGTACCACCTAACATCACCCCCATCAGAAGGGCTTCTAGTTTGGGCAAGATACTTCCGTCTACCTTCGAATTGCTCGATTTCATCTGCTAATCTTCGAATATTCGATGGCGTATTCTTGAGCAAAGCAGGATCAGTCTCAGCTTCTTCTTCAACAACACTAGCATCTGAAATTGATTCTTTTCGTTCAATTTTAGCAACCCCATCATCACCCATCATCCAATTGTGTTGTATTTTGCCCCGAGCTTCCAAAATGAATACGAAGAATGAATTCCGAAAAAACTAAAAGTACCCAGTTGAAATTGAGTGGATTGGAGAAAAACCCAGAATTGAAATGGGGTGAAGAAGTAAGGGAGAAAGGTAGAAGTAAGAGAGAGAAAGGAGTGAAGAGGAGAGAGAAAGTGAGAAAGATGAATGAGATTGCGCTCCGTGGAATTCCGGGAAGGAATATTCAGTGCCAGAAACCAAATCGCTAGGTGGTTCTAGCGGTGTAACAATTTTATTTTTGGCAAAGGCAAACTAATTTTTTTATTTTTTTGGGTAAGTTTTTCAGTTTTTGGTTAACAGGTTTTTTTTGTTTGACAAATTATAATTTGTTGTGAAATAAACAGAATAAATAGTGTGTGGCCTAGGCGATGTCCTAGGTTGCTAGTTTGTGTACTTTTTTAATTTGTTAATTATGTTCGACTGTTTGTATAGTTAGTGTGTGGTCCGGCGTTGTCTCGAGTATCACTTTTGTATTTATATTGCCTCTAAATAACTTAATAAATGAAAGGAATATATAATAGTATGTGAAATTTAAAACATTAATAAAAGTTGGTTGAGATGGTAAATGTATTATCTTTATGTATTGGAGGTTACGGGTTCAAATACTTTCGGGCTGCCCAAAACATTAAAAAAATCAGATTGGGCAAAATTTCTACCCAAACCTGACATTTTTTCACGTTGGGCCAAATTTGATCAAATCTATTTTTTTTTTCCTTATACTGTATTTCGCGCCGATTCAAAACATTAAAAAAAAATCAGATTGGGCAAAATTTCTACCCAAACCTGACATTTTTTCACGTTGGGCCAACTTTGATCAAATCTATTTATTTTTCCTTATACTGTATTTCGCACCGATTGAACAAAATACTATACTATTTATATTTTTTTAATAGAACAAAATCAATAATCATCAATAACTATAACTATATATAACTATAACTATATTAACTATATACTAAATGTTAATAATAACTATATACTAAAAGACACACCAGTCATGGCACATGTCATCTCTTGGTGTGTCCTTAGTATATTTAAAAAATAAAAAAAATTAAAAAATTATTTAACAAAACAAATATTTTGCATATATATAAATAAATATAAATCTTACGGTATATTGAGAAATTACGGGTCCAAATCCTCTATCCCATTATTGTGTCCCATTCTATTTAATTGGTCCACGTTATTTTAAATATTAATATTCTTTTTTTAATTTTTAATAGCAAAAAAAATTTAAATAAATTTTACATAATTTATATTCTAGTCCTTATCTCTCTCTCTCTCTCTCTCTCTCTCTCTCTCTCTCTCTCTCTCTCTCTCTCTCTCTCTCTCTCTCTCTCTTTTTTCTTTTTTTTTTTTTTTTTTTCTTTTTTTTTTTTTTTTTTTTCTCTCCCTCTTGTATACAATAACATTTAATTCAACCATTTCAACCTCATTATTTTTCTTTCTTTATACACCTCTATAACTCTACAACACATTATTATCTTCAAAGTTACTTCTAGAGTAACTGACCATATCATCATCATTCAATTGCTCATGGTCTTCAAAAAAATAGTCTGCGATTAGTTTGTAATGACCCAATTTCTTTATCCAAATAATAATTCTGTACCACCAAAAATCACATATAAAACTCAATAAAAATACATGTATCAAAGACCTAAACAACTATGTAGTTTTATCATTCTGACAATGTTATAGCTTATACTAAAAGTAATTATCACTATATACTCTAATAGCTCCCTATGACCAAAAACAAAGCATATGCATATAGTATTTCGTAGATACCTAATTCAATAAGAATTAAACTCAACCAAAAAAAGTTTCATACCTTGTATGGTAAATTGTCAAAATCACTTGTCAATACTTCTTGTGGAGTATCCATTAAAGTGAAATTGTAGTGCTTTGATATTTATGGATGCAATTAGAGAAAGAATGAATTGAGGTAACTAAAAAAAGAATTAGGGTTCTTGTAGAGTTATGGAGAAGTATACAGAAGAAAAAAAATAATGAGGTTGAATTAAATGTAATTGTATATAGGAGAAAAATAAAATAATAATAAGAACTAGCTAGAATATAAATTATGTAAAATATATTTAATTTTATTTGCTACTAAAAATTAAATAAAGAATATTAATATTAATATTTTTAATGATGTGGACCAATTAAATTGAATGGGACATAATAGTGGGATAGAGGATTCGCACCCAGAAATTATATGACAAAGATACAATAATGTCAAAGATATGAATAAATATTCCCATCATCAATTATCTCCTAGAATCAAGGAAACAATAATAATCACCAAGAAAATATCTAATAAAAATACCATGATTATCCTAACATATATATTACGGTGATATATAATTATGCAATCTACCCTTAAAAATAAAAATAAATAAATAAATAAATCTTTGATTTAACAAAGATACCCTTCAAAAAAACAATCTTAGACTTAACAAAGGTACCCTTTAAAAAAAGACTTAACAAAGATAAGAAAGGTCAGTTAATATAAATATAAACTATGCAAATTTTTTTACCAAGTAAGTAATATTATACTTAACTTTATAGTTGACTCACTTTTGGTAACAAACAATTAGTAGTTCGATTATATACTATTATGTCTATATTTTATTTTAATAGAGATGATGACTATATAATTACCTTAGAGAAAGTGAAATAAATTAATTATGCAATCTTAGACTTAACAAAGATAAGAAAAATTGAATAAATTTAAGAAAAGTCAGTCAAATCATTCATGCAATATTATTTTTACCTTTTATTTTTCTCTCAAATTTTCCAAAAACATCTTACCTAACCATTATAAAAAGTATTAATCTAAATTTTTGAATCACAACCACTAAATAACTTTAAACGTTATTTTTTCTAATGGCACAAAATTATACACTTGTACAAAATATCAATCCATCGAAGGAAAATATTACTATACAAGCTAGAGTTATCTACTTATAGACTATTCCATCTTTTAATAATGCAAATGACGTACATTCTCTAGAGATGGTTCTGCTAGATGAACAGGTATGTAATCTAATGTTTGTCATCATTTTTATATATGAGTAGAAGTTATGCTAGCATTTTATAGAGTTTCAATATTTATGTTTTTCTTTTTTTTTCTTTTTTTTAATTTTTTTTTAAATTAAGGAGGAAAGATCCAGGCTTCCGTAAAAAACTCCTTGCTTGTGACATTTCAGAGGGACAAGTTTACAATATTTCAAATTTTGGAGTTGGATTTAATAATGGATCGTATAAACCCACTGGACATGCGTACAAAATTCTTTTTAAACACTTAACTACAGTCAATCAAGTGGAAGGAACAAGCATTCCCATTCGTGGTTTTGATTTGAAACCTTATGATTCAATATCAAACAAGCGGGACACCAATATTTTAGTTGGTATGATGAATTAAGTTTTTTTTTTCTGTAAATAATATATATTTATCTTACTTTGTTTTTACACATAATTGATTTTTTGTTTTTAATCGTGAAAATTGATTATATTGGATATCTTTATGATATATCATCAACCATACATTTTTAAGAGATGGTAATCAACAAAAGATGATCAGCATCCAATTGGAGGACTTGCAGTAAGTAGAATATATTTTTTTCCTTAATAAATACATTATTTTAGTCATATCCCTAAGTTTCAAGATCCACCTCAAATACTTTGAGACCTATATACAAATCAAGATGCTAGGAGCAAGAATTTCCAAGAGAATACTCGGCCACATAATATGATGTATGCTTTTACTTCAATGGGTGGCAAAATTGATTCATATGTGAACAGAGGACGAGGTCCATTTACCTTTAGATTGTATGGTCAGAATTACCATCGAATAGGGAGTTTATTGCCAATGATGGGGTCGTCTCCAAAGTTTTCATAATTATATATTTATGATACAGAAAATGAAGTATCTAATAGAATGCATGCTTTGAGGTATGTATCTTGTGATAATCGTAAATTTATATTGAATATGCATTTATACTACGTATAAATTATAGTTAAAATTAATATAGTAGTAGCACTTTTTATTAAAATATCGTAAAGACATGAATAATTAAAGCAAATGGTGAAAAGTATATCACCTAAAATCTATAGGCATAATAATTTATTTATTTATTTATTTTTTTTAATGCAATTCCAATAATACTATAAATAATGCATTAGATGATACAATTGTTGAAGATTTGCGACAAATGTTTGCTCAAGCATTTAGAGTGGCTAGAGATCGATTTGAGTCGAACAATCAGGAGGTTGTTAAGCTTAAACTCATTGGAGGAAGGGAGATTGATGGAAGGACTTACAATCTACCAACTGCATCCGAAGTAGCAGCTTTTATTGTTGGAGATGTTGGAAGTTCAGTTGGAGAAAGAGATCTAATAGTTGTGACACAAAGCGGTCAATTACAAAGTATAAATGAGCTACATCCATCTTATTCTTCCACTACAATATCCCATATTGTTTTCATATGGAGAGGATGGTTATAGACTTGGTATTCAATTAAGGGACTCAACTAGCAGCTATCGAAAAAGAAAGAAATTGACCATGAGAGAATTCTTTGCTTTTAGAATACATAAGAGAGAAGATGAGGCTTTCACTATTTTATGGTCTCGAAAATTATTCCAACAATTTTTAGTTGATGGTTTCACGATGATAGAATCTGAAAGGATGTGTTACATTCGAACTCATCAAAAACAGCTGAGAGTAGACAAGTATAAGAATCTCAAAGAAGTACCACGACAAAACACTAATTCTTCTTCGATAGAAAAACCGATGATATTACCTTCATCTTTTACTGGTTGTGCTCGATACAATGCTCAAAACTATCAAGATGCCATGGCTATTTGCAAATGGTATGGATATCCTGATTTGTTCATCACTTTCACTTGCAATCCAAAATGGCCCGAAATCTTAAGATATGTACAGAAGAGAGGTCTTACACCTGAAGATCGACCAGACATTTTTTGCAGAATTTTCAAAATCAAACTAGATCAGTTGATTCGTGATTTGAAGGAAGGACAAATATTTGGAAAAGCACAAGCTTGTGAGTATTAACATCATTATATAAAGTCAATTTTTTTTGAAATATTGTTACCATTATTACAATATCTTATGCTATTTATTGAATAATTGTTACCATTAAAATATTATATACGACAAAAAATTAGTATTAGACACATTTATACATTCTTACAAGCTGTAATTGCAAAATTGGAAACAAGCAATAAGATTTTTGGTTATCTACTATTATGTATTACTACTATATTTTAATAGAGATGACTATACATTTAGCTTAGAGAAAGTGAA